ACTTCAAACCACCAGGCCTCTTGGACATTTCCCAGAGCAGCAAGCTGCTTTCTCTCATTCCCCAAATGCACTGTGGACCTTGACCAAGTCCCTGCCCTGGAGACTTCCTCCCCTTTGCCTTCTGTTCTTCCATAAATGGATTGTATTAAAATCACAGGCAACGATATGTATGTCCACCAACAGATGAATGGGTAAACAAATTGTTGTATAGCTGGACCATGGAGTAAAACATAACAGTAAAAAGGAATGAACTGTTGATATACTCAACAACATGGACGAATCTCTCAATAATTATTCTGGGTAAAAATATATATGTATATTTTTTTTTAAAAGAAGCCAGACACACACACTCTCCCAAAAAGAATCCACACTGTGTGAATTCCATTTGTATAAAATTGTACAAAATGCAAACTAATCTATAGTGACAAGATCAGTTGTTGCTTGAAAATCGGGGTTGCAGGATCATGGAGAGGGGTAGGAGGGAGAGACTGGAAAGGGGCATGAGGAAATGTGGGGGCATGAGGCATGTGTTTATTATCTGGATTGTGGTAATGGTTTCACAGGTGTATACATATGTCAAAACTTATCAAGTTGTACACTCTATATGTACTTTATTGTAGGGCAATTATACCTCAATAAAGCTGTAAAAACATATCATCACAAAATGATCTTTAGGTGACTTCCAACCGACTTCCAACTCCATTTTTTTTCATGATTCCTCTTTGATCCCTTTACCAAACTCCTTTGAAGAAACATTATTAGCCCCGAGCAAATATCCTTTTGTTCTTAAAAGGCACCAGTCCTGGTTTTTCCAACTGAAAATAAGAGAGGAGTGTTGTAAGTAACCCCCTTCATCATTATTAAGGATATAGTTCTTCTCTTCTCCCACACTCACCAAAATCTTACTGGGATCAAATGTCCTTAAAAAAGACCTCTATTCCCTGTTTTAGGGCATAAAGAAGAAAAATCAAAAACTTTTTCCAGAAACTTCCAATCTTGTGATATAAATGAAGTGAAGACCAAGATTTTAAGAGTTGCCTGGTTCCTTTGGGGCTCACCTGGTTATTAATGATTCTGCTCTAACAGTGCAAAAAAGGCGGTCTCTTCTCCCTTCGGACTGGCTCTCTCACCAACAACAAGCTTGGTAAGAGGACTAAACAAACAGCAATCCAGAGATAGCAAGAGGTGGGTGGCTGGGGTGGGAGTACTTTTTTATCCTGCTGCAATCCACAACTGCAAAATGAACTGGCCCGATATAAAGGTTTTACAATTTGGGGGCGCCTGGGTGGCTCAGTCGTTAAGCGTCTGCCTTCGGCTCAGGTCATGATCCCAGGGTCCTGGTATGGAGCCCCGCATCAGGCTCCCCGCTCCACTGTGTTCCCTCTCTGTTCCATTGTGTTCCCTCTCTCTCTGTGTCTCTCTCTGTCAAATAAATAAAATCTTTAAAAAAAAAAAAAGATCTAAAGGTTTTGCAATTTCTGACCACTGGTCTACATTCCTGAAAGATTACATGTGAGATAAATGTGGTCACTCCATGCGTGTGTGCATTTTAAGTTGAATCATTATTTTCTCATTCATTTACTATAATGAAGAAACAGATCTTCTTGGGATCACTTGAATTCTGCTTTGCAATTTACAAGCTCTGTGGTCTTGGGTAATCCCTCGACTTCTCTAAGCTTCAACTTCCTCCTCTAGAATGGAGCTGACCGCAAAGGGCTTACCTCAAGAGTATATAAAATGAGAATGGCGTAGGGCCTGGTACATGGAAAGCACTCGATAATGCTTTATGAAATTTGTACTGTAAGTAAATATCTGTTGAAGCAGAATTTCAGAGTCCCTTATCTCTCCTTCTGATAAGCCTTCATTTGGTTATGACTCAATACCACATAACTTTAAGCTTATCCTTCTCTCACCTTCTGTCACATTAATAATCCAAATCCACAAACAGACAAGAACACATTACGGGAATTTGCTATTTAAAACAGCAACAGCTAACGTTATTGAACACTTAAAATGTATCCAACATTGTGTGCTTTTTTTCTTGAAGTATACGTGACATACAATGTTATATTAGCTTCAGGTGCACAACACAGTGATTTGACAATTCTATACGTTACTCAGTGCTCACCATGGTAAGTGTATCCACCATCTGTCACCATACAACATTATTACAATATTATGGACCATATTCCCTGTGCTGTACTTTTCATCTCCGTGACTTAATTATTTTATAACAGGAAGTTCGTAGCTCTTAATCCCCTTTGTCTATTTCGCCCTGTACCCTGACCCAGCTCCCTTCTGGAAAGTACCAGTTTGTTCTCTGTATTTAAGAGTCTGGCTTTTTGTTTGTTTGTTCATTTGTTTTGTTTTTTAGATTCCAAATATAAGTGAAATCCTATGACATTTGTCTTTCTCTGTCTGACTTACTTCACTTACCATAATACGTACCAGGTCCATCTGTGTTGTCACAAGTGGCGAAACTTCGTTTTTTTTTTTTTTTTTT